CACTGGGAAAATTCCACGCCAGCTGGGATGAGTTGGTCACCCTAAGCCTGTGTTCAAATCCTGGCTTTGCCATGTGCCTGGTGAAACCACCAGTTACCTAATTAACACCCAATCACCCATCTTTCAGAAATGATTTGATTACTGTCTGAAGGCCTTCCCTGAGCAATTCCATTTTCTCCCTCGTCCCCTTTTAAAAGTGTATCTCAGTTCAAAAAACTTTTTTTTTTTTTAAATTGGGACAGCGTGTCGCTCTGTCACTCAGGCTGGAGTGCAGTGGCATGATCACAGCTTACTGCAGCCCCAACTTCTTGGACTTAAGAGATCCTCTTGCCTCAGCCTCTCGAGTAGCTGGGACTATAGGTGAGTGCCATCAAGCCCAGGTAATTTTTGTACTTTTTGTAGAGATGGGGTTTCACCATGTTACCAGGCTGGTCTTGAACTCCTGGGCTCAAGATATTCTCCTGCCTTGGCCTTCCAAAGTGCTGGGATTACAAGTGTGAGCCACCATGCCTGGCCTCAAAATTCATTTATTGAGAAAATATGTTGTACCATGGGCTTTCCTAGACTCCATGTTCTTCCCCCTTTTATCAGCAGAGACAATGACTGGGAGAAAGGTTAGATGGACAGAGGAGGAATCCATGACACCAACTGCAGCAGGGTGGGGTGGGGTTCTTCCCACTTACTTCCCCCTTCCAAGTGTCTCCTCAGGAAGAGAGGCCACAGGCATCTTGGAGGAGCTACCCCTGACCATATAGGAGAACTGGACCTTGGTGTAAGTAATGGACCATGGCAGCCAGGGAGGGGCTCCCCCAGCTCTCCATTCAACAACAGATTTGCCTCTCAGCAGCAGGTGGGGCAGTTAGCAGATGCTCTTCGACTGCGGGATCCACCCCAGCTTCTGAGCTAAAGCCCTGCTCTTCTGGGGCAGCTCCCAGCCAATAACTCAGGGTGAAAAGGGCATCACAGGGGCAGGCCACTTGTGCCTGACACAAAAGCTCCCTCATGGGCAGTCTCAGCCCCAGAGCGCCCATATTGCTGTGCCCAACGCTTTGTTCGATCAGCACTGAAGTTGGCAGCTCTCCCTGCCTGATTCTGTTTCTAGCCCTCTTATCTTTCACAGGACCTCAACCCCAATAAAGCACTTGCATTTCCAACCCCAGCTCAGTGTCCGCTTCCCAGAGGACCCAACTGACAAAGACTACCGGTAAAACAAACTGCAATCTATTCACATCTCTCCACCACCACCAACTCCAAGTCCTCATTCCTTGGAGAAGCACCTGGATGGTGGCATACCCCTCAGTTGAGCCCCTCACCCCGCTTCCTCTTGTTTTTGTCTGTTTGTTTGTTTTTGTTGTTCTTCTTTTTGAGACAGGGTCTCACTCTGTTGCCCAGACTGGAGTGCAGTGAAGCCATCTCGGCGCGCACCACCACGCCCAGCTAATTTTTGTATTTTAAGTAGAGACAGGGTTTCACTATGTTGGCCAGGCTGGTCTTGAACACCTGACCTCAAATGATCCACCTACCTTGGCCTCCCAAAGTGCTGGGATTACAGCCATGAGCCAGCGCACCCTGCCCTCTTTTATCGCTTTGTAACCCAGTCTCCACACAACTGCCAGAGTGGTCTTTTAAAAACACAAACTGAGCCAGGCGTGGTGACTCACACCTGTAATCCTAGCACTTTGGGAGGCCGAGGTGGGTGGATCATGAGGTCAGGAGTTCAAGACCAGCCTGGCCAACATGGTGAAACCCCGTCTCTACTAAAAATACAAAAATGAGCCATGCACAGTGGTAGGCGCCTGTAACCCCAGCTGCTCAGGAGGCTAAAGAAGGAGAATTGCTTGAGCCTGGGAGGCAGAAGCTGCAGTGAGCTGAGATCGCATCATTGCACCCCAGCCTGGGTGACAGAGTGAGATCCTGTCTCAAAAAAAACAAAAACAAAAACCAGGTGAGACCGCTTTCCTGCTTAAGTCCTCCAGTTGGGCTTCGAATCAGACCCACTCCCTTGCTGGAGCGTGTAAATCTCTACATGGCCCCCACCCACCTGTCCAGCTTTCTCCCTCCCCTACATCTCACTCTGCTCCAGCCCCACTCTGTTCCTTCTGTTCCTGAAACATACCATGCTCCTTTCTGCCCCAGGGCCTTTGCACTAGCTGCTCCCTCTGCCCAGAACACACCATCTTTCCCCAGACTTCTGCATGGCTGGTTTCCCAGGTCATTTAGGTCTGAGCTCCAACGCAGGCCTTTTCTGACCCCCTTATGAATAATGCCCACCTCCCAATACCCCCTTCCTACTTCCTGTAACTTTCTATAACATCACTTTAAAACTTTTCTTTGTCATTCTCATTATTATTGGAAATTAACTTGTTTACTTAGTTACTCATTCGTTTACCACCAGCCTCCCCACTGGAATATAAACTGTGTGAGCCTGTCTTGTTCCCAGCTCTCCCCAGTGCTTGGCACTATGCCTGGCACAATGTAGGTCTCAAAACATATTTTCTAAAATGAATTCCTATATTTGTTATATGTGGCAGAATTCCCTTACCCTAAGAATGGAATGAAAGTGAAGAAAAAAAAACAAAAAACTAGGAGTCATGACAATTCAGAGGGAAAATATAGGAACTATTCCAGTTTTAGGGAAGTTTCCCCTAGAATACTTCCCTGGCCATCCCTTGAGGAATCCTGTGTTAGGATTAAGGAGGATCCCTCCCAGAACCCCGCTCTGTCTTTGGGCTTTGGGACCTCTCTGTCTTCTAATCCTTCCTCTGCCTCCAGCTGCAGCATTAGGAAACTACTTCAGCAAACATTCACTGAGAAGCTGTCCTGGGCAGGCTTCATGCTGAATGCTGGGATAGAGATGGGTCAAGGAAGAAGGGAGAGGCTGGGCGTGGTGGCTCATGCCTATAATCCCAGCACTTTGGGAGGCTGAGGCAGGCGGATCACCTGAGGCCAGGAGTTCGAGACCAGCCTGGCCAACATGATGAAACCCTGGCTCTACTAAAGTAGCCGGGCATGGTGGCAGGCATCTGTAGTCCCAGCTACTCAGGAGGCTGAGACAGGAGAATTGCCTGAACCTGGGAGGTCGAAATTCCAGGGAGCTGAGATCGTGCCACTGCACTGCAGCCTGGGTGACAGAGTGAGACTCTATCTAAAAAAGAAAAAAAAAAAGAAAAAAAAAAGTCATTCTAGGGGATAAACAGACTAGTTTAAACAAGATTTGACTCCAGCCTCCGGACTTATTTGTCCAAACTGTCCCCAAACTCTCATAGGGCAGCGCAGGTAAAGGTGGCACCATTTGGTGCCCAAGTCACAGTGGCTCTGCTTCTATTGGCAGCAGCCCTCTCTCTTGGCATCTCCTGTCCTTCCCTGGACTTCCTATAACAGTTTCTCCTGGGGATGCTATCTGTGTGTTTCTGTCTTCACAGAACACATGCAGATGTACCAGGAGTCCCCATGCCTCATGCACCCCCAGGACTGCAGCGGGACCTACTGTTAGCCTTCGCCTTCCGAGAGCCCAGCCCACCTCTCTGTCCATGAGATGCTTCCTCCAAGCCCGACCGCCTGCACTGGGTTTTGAGGTCACAGCTTCAGTGAGCACTAACGCACATCCACACACACAGCACTCAGGCTCCTGGCTTACAGCGCTTGTGTTTGCTTCTCTCCTCTTTCACAACTCAGGTGTGGATGAAAATCTCTAGCTCCTAGAGATGGGCGAACAGGGTGGACATCCTAATGTGTGTGGAGGGAGGGAGGTGGAGCACATGCCTGGGGACACTGGACAAAATCCCAGTGCTGGACAGTGTCCCCCAGGGCTGTTGCCTCTTGGGAAACGTGCCCATCTCTCCAGACCACCAGCACTATGCTCCAGACCACTTGAAGCCACATGATAGCCATGGTGGTCCAGAGATCCTGGTTTGAACCTTCTCTTCAAGTCAAAAATGCAGGCTTGGAAGGGAGACATGGGCTGGGAATGACCACAGCCCTCCCAGTGCCCTTCCAGCCCTGGGAATCCATATTGGTCAGGAAAAGCTTCATGGAAAATTGGAGATAAATTGTGGAGGATAGTAGGACTGTTTTTAAGTTCTTAATTGCAAAGTTAATTTTCAACAAAATATATATAGATGTTTTTGACAGGAGAAAGTAAAAAGCTCCTCCACCACCTCCACAGCACAGCCCACTCCCATTCCTGCTGTTCCTTCTGGGCCTGGTCCACATGCCCATCAGGCACGTGGCACCGCTTGCCAACTAAGGCAGACTGCAGTGGGGGTGGGGGGTTCCTCTCTGGACCTGTGATGCTCTAAGCTTCCAAGGAGTCAGAGGAGAGAATTTCCATCCTCTGAGATCACAGAAAGATTTTGTATTGGGGTGGTGGGGAATGAACTCTGCTCTTTCAAAAGGTTGGAGGTGGGGGTGACGGGCAGGTGGTCACAGTATAAAGAGAAGTTAGGCCAAAATCGGCGCCCCCCGCCCAGCCCCCAACACTGGCCTCTTCCCCTCCTCTAACCCCTCCCACCCAGCCCCATCCACAGTCTGGTCCAGTGAGACGTGCCTGAGCCCACAGGCTGCCCCAACGCAGCCAGTGGTGACCTTGGACACCGACCTGACCTCCGGGGCCTCAGTTTCCTCATTTCTATTGTGAGCCTGTCCAGGGCGAGGCTCAATTGCGACTGAGCTTGTGGCGCTCCTAGCGCAGAACCCCACCCGAAGGAAAGCTCTCTCCGAGGTGGCTATGAGCATAACCCGCTTGGGGAGGGGGCCCGAGCACGGGAGGGTTGGGATGGGGGTTACCCAGGAGCCCCGCCGCGCGGCCCTCGGGTGGCCGCCCCCTGCGCCGTGACAGCAGCGAGATAAGGGCCCAGGCTCTGCCCTCGCTCCCCGCCGTATCCCCCGCGGCGCCCCCAGTCCAGCGCCCGGCACTGAACGGGTGCGGGGCTGGGCCAGGGCCGGCCCGGGGAAGCGAGTGGGGCGGGGCCGCCGCGCCCGCTCCCCCTCCCCGCCGCCAGCCGCCTTCTCCTCCTCCCGCCGCCCGGGCTCAGAGCGGCGGCAGCAGCGGCCGCGGCGACAGCTTCAGCTCCGGCTCCGGCTTCGGCTCCCGCGCCTGCCCTGCTCGGCCCCGCGCGCCCGGGCTCCGTGCCCCGACCCCGCCGCCGCGCCTGCCGGGGGCCTCGGGCGCCCCCGCCGCCCGCCTCACGCTGAAGTTCCTGGCCGTGCTGCTGGCCGCGGGCATGCTGGCGTTCCTCGGTGCCGTCATCTGCATCATCGCCAGCGTGCCCCTGGCGGCCAGCCCGGCGAGGGCGCTGCCCGGCAGCGCCGACAACGCCTCGGTAGCCTCGGGCGCCGCCGCGTCCCCGGGTCCGCAGCGCAGCCTGAGCGCGCTGCACGGCGCAGGTGGCTCGGCCCGGCCCCCCGCGCTGCCGGGGGCACCCGCGGCCAGCGCGCACCCGCTGCCGCCCGGGCCCCTGTTCAGCCGCTTCCTGTGCACGCCGCTGGCGGCCGCCTGCCCGTCGGGGGCCCAGCAGGGGGACGCGGCGGGTGCGGCGCCGGGAGAGCGTGAGGAGCTGCTGCTGCTGCAGAGCACGGCCGAGCAGCTGCGCCAGACGGCGCTGCAGCAGGAGGCGCGCATCCGCGCCGACCAGGACACCATCCGCGAGCTCACCGGCAAGCTGGGCCGCTGCGAGAGCGGCCTGCCGCGCGGCCTCCAGGGCGCCGGGCCCCGCCGCGACACCATGGCCGACGGGTCCTGGGACTCACCCGCGCTCATCCTGGAGCTGGAGGACGCCGTGCGCGCCCTGCGGGATCGCATCGACCGCCTGGAGGTGTGTGCCGCGCGCCGTCGGGGGAGCCGCCGGGGTGGTGGGAGGGACCGCCCGGCTGCCGCCGCCTCGCGGTCCCCTAGCCTCAGGTCTCCGGGGACGATCGCGCCCTCCTAGCTGTCGTGATGGGGGGATTCTGATAGGGAACGCGGGCAGGCGTCTAGCACGGTGACTGAGGCACAGGGGGCGCGCCAGAAAGGTTCGCTCCTCACCCTTTTTCCTCTCCAGGCACCTCTCGGAGCCTCAGTTTTTGCGTCTGTAAAATAGGTATAACCGTGTCCACTTGTAGTGGAAATTGAATGACATATAGGTGTGTGAAAATGCTTGGCACATACTAGGACCTCATTAGATGTCCATTTCTTTCCTTCTTCCGGACACCCCCAAATCAGCACCAGCTCCACCCTCACACTCTATGGCTAGGAGATGGATTCGCTGTACCAGGGACTCAGGGTCCTCCCCTCATTACACAGAGCCAGGAACAGAGCGCTCAGAAAGACAAACCTGGGTGCCCATCACCGCCTCCCTGCCCTGAATCTCCCACCCTGGCTCAGGCTGTGACCCAGCTGCAGGAGCTCAGGTGCCAGGCACCCAGCCTCACACACCAGAAAGCCCACAGCTCTTGGGTGGGAACTGAATGGAGAACAGGGCCCCACCGAGCTTCCCCTCCTGCACTCACCTTTTCCAGGCGTTCCTGGACCAGGCTTGGGGTCAGACAAAAGGGGTCCAGCATGAGAGAGCCCGCTCTTTGCTGTCACGTGACCCTGGGCCAGTCATTTCCCCCCTGGAGTCCCATGGCCACCTTCCTCCCTGTAAGAATGAATTTGGGGTTCGTAGAAGTGCAAGGCAGGCAGACTGGGCAGGACAAACATCCGGGACACATTCCCCACCCCAGCCATGACGGACTTCCAGACCACAAGGAAGTGGGGTAAGCAACAAAATCAGATCTGTGGAAGGAAGAGGGAGAAAGAGGCCAAGGCACACTCTGTCCCTCTGCTGCCTCCCCCCAGGCAGAGTGCAGCAGGCAAGTTGGAGGGAGGAGAGAAGCCGGGAGTAAACACAGGGACCCCTTAAACAGGGGCTGTTTAACGTAAATCCTGGGCAAGCAGTACTGGTGATGCCCATGCGGAAGGCTGAGGATGTCGTGGTCCGGCAGCCCTCCAGGACGTCTGTACTGGTGTCAGTGCCCTCCCCACAGGGTGTCAGAGTGCAGCCAGGTGGCCATGGTAGCCAACCCCTCACCTTATAGATGAGAAAACTCAGCCCAGAAATCTCCTAGGAGGGGTGGCAGAGGCAGGAGAAAAGCTGGGCCCGTCCCACCTCTTCCCCTACTCCAGCTATGGGGAATTTCTAGGATGAGAAAACCAAGACCAGGAAAATAATAAGGAAAAACCTGAAAGTATGCAATGAAGGGAAGTCTTAGTTTTCTCACCTGTAAAATGGGGATAATAATAGCAGCTACCTCATTGGGATGTTAGGAGGATTAAGTAGTTTATATGAAAGGCCAAGAATAGTGCCTGGCACACAGGTATGTTCAATCAATTTCAGTGATTGCTATTTTTATAATTAAGCTATAATATTACTCACTTTTAAAATACAGCCGGCCGGGTGCGGTGGCTCACGCCTGTAATCCCAGCACTTTGGGAGGCCGAGGCGGGTGGATCACGAGGTCAAGAGATCAAGACCATCCTGGTCAACATGGTGAAACCCCGTCTCTACTAAAAATACAAAAAATCAGCTGGGCATGGTGGCGCGTGCCTGTAATCCCAGCTACTCAGGAGGCTGAGGCAGGAGAATTGCCTGAACCCAGGAGGCGGAGGTTGCGGTGAGCCGAGATCGCGCCATTGCACTCTAGCCTGGGTAACATGAGTGAAAGTCCGTCTCAAAAAAAACAAAAAATACAGCCAAGGGCTGGGCACAGTGGCTCATGCCTGTAATTCCAGCACTTCAGGAGGCAGAGGCAGGTGGATCACCTGAAGTCAAGAGTTCAAGACCAGCCTGGCCAACATGGTAAAACCCCATCTCTAATTTAAAAAATATATAAAAATTAGCCAGGCATGGGGGCGGGTGCTTGTAATCCGAGCTACTCAGGAGGCTGAGGCAGGAGAATTGCTTGAACCAAGGAAGCAGAGGTTGCAGTGACCTAAGATCATGCCATTGCACCCTAGCCTGGGTGACAGAGCAAGACTCCCTCTCAAAAATAAAATACAGCCAAAACTCAAAATAGGAACAAACAGGTTTTAGGCAACAGGTTTTAGTCATGTAAAAAAGAATTTTTGACTTTCATTAAATACACTTCCTCATGCCTGCCATAGCCCCTGCCACCCATAGCCCCTGCTGCCCTGCCCAGATGGCACAGGTGGCTCCTCCCACGTTTGGGGCTGGCAGGCTTGGACCTGCCCTGGACCTGTGCCTTCAGCACCTGCAGCACTTTGGCAGGGTGGCCTCCCTTCCGGTTGGCCCACTGAGGTTGGGGGGATCCTGGCAGCTGGGATCTGGCAACAGGTCAGCCTTCCAGGCTGGGGGAGCCCTGGCTGCTCCATGTACACCTTCTCCTCTTTTCTGAGTGCAGCCGCCATGGACAGAGAAAGGCAGGGGACTGCTTGGCCACCAGGTCTGCCCTCTGAGCATGGCAACAGCCACCGCTAGTCTTTGTGGGGGCGGAGGGTTCTGGGAGGGGCTGGGGCTGGAGCCCAGGAGACACAGGGTGAGACCATTTCTTTTTTTGAGATGGAGTCTTGCACTGTCGACCTCGGCTCACTGCGACCTCTGCCTCCCAAGTTCAAGCGATTCTCCTGCCTCAGCCTCCCAAGTAGCTGGGATTACAGATGCCCACCACCATGCCCAGCTAATTTTTTGTATTTTTAGTAGAGACAGAGTTTCACTATGTTGGCCAGGCTGGTCTTGAACTCTTGACCTCGTGATCCACCTGCCTCAGCCTCCCAAAGTGTTGACATTACAGACGTGAGCCACCGTCTCTCAGGATACATTGAAAGTGCTCTTGCTAATGTCCCCAAGTTGATAAATGAGGACTTCTCAGTCCTTACCTTGGTGGAACCCTCTCTGACATCTGAGCCTGCTGATCACCCTCTCCTGCAAGTCCCAGGCCCTGGGCTTCCAGCCACCTCTCTCAGCAATCCTCCTCCCTGTCTGCTGCCTCTGAGTCTTTGCAGGGTCCTCCTCCTGTAAGTGGTGTGCCCCTCTTGGCCCTCACCTTTCCTGGGTGCGCTCAGCCATGCCCGGAGGCTTCCCACACCTATTCCAGGGAGGGAGGGGCCTCAAACCAAAGCTCAGTGTTCAGCCTAGGTTTTATCCAAGCTCCAGACCCATGGACACAGGGGCCTCCTGAGCATCACCCTCTGGCTGTCCCATCGGCCCCCAACCCCACTGTGTTTCAGCTTGAACCGGGTACCTCCACGTGCTGAGAAACCATCCTGGGCCCCTCCCTCTTCCCCCGGTTCTGATTGGCCTCATCTCTGTGCATGCTTGCAGCAGCCTCATCTCTGGTCTCATGACCCCAGGCACACCTCTCCCTCCACCCTCCTCCAGGCAGCCCCAGGGATCTTCCTTAAGCCCACCATGGGGCTCTCCTGGGGTGCAAACTCCTCAGCCTGCTCCTAAGTTACCTCTTTGGATCTGGCCGCTCTCTCCTGACCCCTCTCTCAGTTCATTCCTGCTTCTGTCTGGATCATCCCCAGCACATCCCTGCTCCTCATCTTAGAGTCTGCTCTGAGGACACCTCCTCCCAGAAGCCATCCCTGTTCACACTCTATCCCCTTCCTATCCCCACCTGGGCTTCCATAATCATCACACTTCCTTGCTGGTCCCCCCCCCAGCACATCCCTGCATTACCAACCCTCCTACAAAAGGGAAGGGAAGGTCTGCTCGGCTTGTTCTCTCCCCAAAGCCTCAAGTGGGAGCCACATTTGAGGGCTTAGGGGAAAGCCCTTCTGTTTTTATTTGTGTTGTTATTGTTGCTCATTGAAACCCGTCAAAGGTTATGGGGGAAATACTGCATTTGACTGCGTCATTTTCTCCCTTTCTGCAGCCCCCTTCCCGTCCTTATCCATATGCAGCCATTGTTTGAGAGCTGCTGTGTAATTACCATTTTAATGATGCTGTAATATGCTGGGACTCATCTACAGCTCCAAATCCATCAGTCACTTGACCGGCTCCTGTTACTGGAGATGTAGGTTGTTTCCAATTATTTTTCTTCCAGATGTTCATTGCAGGATCTATTGCATGCAGAGAGCTGTTTGTTTGTTTGTTTTTAAGTCTGTTAATTTCTTTAAGCTGAATTCCCAGGAGTGGTATTACTGGGTCAGAGGATATTGACTTTTTTTTTTTTTTTTTTTTTTGAGACAGTCTAGCTGTTGCCTAGGCTGGAGTGCAGTGGTGCAAACTCGGCTCATTGCAACCTCCACCTCCCAGGTGCAAGGGATTCTCCTGCCTGAACCTCCTGGGTAGTTGGGACTACAGGTATGTGCCACCACACCCAGCTAATTTTTGTATTTTTAGTAGAGACGGGGTTTCATGTTGGTCAGACTTGTCTCCAACTCCTGACCTCAGGTGATCCGCCCGCCTCAGCCTCCCAAAGTGCTGGGATTACAAGCGTGAGCCACTGCCCCTGGCAAACATTGACTCTTTATGGCTGAGGCCAGGGACCACTTTCCAAGAGTTGGCCTACTAATTCGGCTACAGGCCTGCATGCATGTTCCAGTGTTCCATTTTTGTGCTAATTTAACGTATGTATACAATGGAACTTCAAGATTAATTTCAACAGCATTTCCTTGGCATAAACCACATCCTTATCCCAGCCTGGCAAGCTGGTTGCCTCCTCCCATCCTGAAGTAGGAGCCAGATAACCATTATAGCGCACACTTACTGAGCACTTACTATGCGGCAGGCACCGTGTGTTATCTCATTTAATCCTCGTGAAATCTCTATGAGGGAGGTACAAAGAAACCAAGGTTCAGAGAGGTTAAGGCAATGGCCCCAAGTCAACA